AAATACTTTTTCAAAAATTTACTCTATGTAGGCTATTTGTAATCAATAATTAGTTTAATTTCCCTGTAACATATTCGAGTATTTAAGATTTATTGAAATTACAATGAAATGGCTCCTATATTTGATATGTAACAAATTTTTGTTATTTTAGTTTTTTTTTTATATATTTTAGTCGTGTAAAATGAATATAAATTCAAAATAGCCTTAGATAAACACTGGCATTCGGTGATTGAGCTGACCCATCCATCGTCAAAGTAGAAGTATAAATAAAAGTTTACAAACACTCGAGTAAGCGTATTTATAAAAAAATACAATACAGTCTTATAAATACTGCATAACGTGTGTTTTGATATTCAAAACTTATTAAACATTTAAAATAAACTGCAAAAATATAATAAAATTATTATTTTTCTATTTTTTTTTTTACTGGATATACAATTTAAAATTGTCACGAATATCTACGGTACCTATTGAATATTTAAATAGGTAGTGCCAAAAGCTAAAAAAAAAATATTTAATTCGTTATTTTCTCGAACGTTAATAAATTATTATTATTTATACTCCATTTTACCGTGTTAACCTACAGTGATTTCTTTTATAATAATATACACATTTCTATTTCAGCTATAGTATTGATTACAATCTAAAATGTCAGTATTATCAAACGCGTGGACTACAAAAATCAAACGCAATACAATTATTTCAATATTACGAGTTAAATAACAATAATAGTCGTTATTAATAATTGTGTATGTATAATTCACTGAATATTTATCATATAAAATTCACACGAACGTACGCGCTTAACACGTGTCACAGAGGTATGAGTTTTATGTAACTCTTGCATAAAATGTGTGTAGTATGTATAATGTGATCATACACGATGTGCCGATGTTCGACGCTGCAAAATGTCAAACATAATGCACTGAGGTAACAAAAAAAAAAAAATAATAATAATAATCAATGATTAACAACCGGCTTGAATTAATTTGCAAGCTAACAAAATATATACGTATACGATAAGTTTTTTTAAGCTTTCTTTTTATCAATAAGATTTAATAGCATTTAGTAATATCGTTTATATTTCTACCTCTAGAATATTTAAAACTTTATTTCAGTGTTATAGATGTATAACGATACAAATCAAAAAGTTGTTGAAAATCTTACGCCGTAAAGAAAGCGCTAAAGGTGCGTATCGTGTATAGTTCATTAGTCGGCATTAAAATTATACGAGTAAATTCGCGCATAGACATAATATGCAACAGTAATTAATAATATTATTCCGAGAAACGCATATTCCATTACCTAGTTTAAATTGTTTTTAAATTTTATCTATCGGTTGATATTGACATTAACACATATTGTGTACCTATAGAAACATTATTTTAAATCATACAATTCAAGTATAATATTATCAGATTTAATCATTAACCTATAATATCATATACGTCGAGTTATACAGTTCTAAGTTTAATAAAACATCAAAATAAATAATTTAAATAATAAAACGTATAAAATTATACAAATCGTACAATAATTTAAATGATAAGGAAACATGCGTTTTTACAATATTCACAATGGCCGTTGTGTATGTGTGTTGAGTGCATATATACATCTATAGCATATCTATATTTCGTTTTTCCCTCGTAACCATATAGTCCGTCGTCGGGAATAATAAAAATAATAAATTAACGATTTTGATACTATGTAGGTGTTGTTATACACCGCCATCCCTTCGGTTTTTTTTTTTTTAAATCAATAGAACAGTTTTTATTTCGTCCTTCATTCTGTTTTTTTTTTTCATATGTATAACTATGTGTTAACCGATTTTTCCCTCCGTTTTGTACTTATTAACGTTATCGACACGGAACACTGTGCAAACCACTCGCGTCAGTGTCAAAACCTACTCTTGACGTCGATGTGTTGAAGTAGCTGTGCTTACCTCAACATATTATACACACAAAAGTCAACTATAAGCAAAAATATAAGTTAACTTGGTTTTGTTCACAACACCGCATCAGCTATTGAAGCGATGATGATAATCGGTCATTTACCTCGACTAACTTGTTAACGATCATATTACTATAACACTACGATTAAAAATCTTTCATCTATAGTTTTTGTAGTAACTTATTTTAGTACAATATTGTGAGCGCAATAAAACCATTTAATAAATACAGTAATGTTTAAACTATTCTTAAATTGTAATATTTTTTTATAGTAAGTTAAGTGTATGTAAATAGTATTTTAAGTCTTATAGTTTTAATAATGAATGTTCAATTACAATACGATACATAATACACACAATAAACAGGTACATAATATAGAAATTATTACATACCCGCTACTGAACATATTATAATGCATGAAAGCTTTCTAGAACGTTGGTCTGGTTTAAAAAATGTTGTTTTTTCAAATTAAAAAAACAACTTATTCCAACTTATTATTGAATTTATCTAAATAAATCATACGCCTATCCCGAACAAAAAAATGAACTTATTATTTCTTAACAAACGTATAATACGACATGTCCTGGTTAACAAGGATCATTGTCATGCGTTATTGTTCACGTCAAATTTAAAGAAAATAATAAAAAATAACAATATCTATTACAGCGTATTCGTTGTTATTACAGTGATGAATGCATTTTAAAAGACCAATGCTTTGGTAGATTGTTGGTGGTTTATTAGGACGATCGTCGCCCAACTTGGCCCACCTGCATTCCAAGCATACACACACAGACAACTCCATCATCCGCCGCAGACCACCTGCAATTACACCCTTCCTCCCCACTCTTACGAACCAACTGACTCGCCCACTACAGCTATACAGGTATATGACGTATGATGTACCCTACACAAATATAATATGTAATATGTGATTATATCTTTTCGTATACTATTCCAGCTGGATCGCAAATTACACAAAGATTCGTTACTATCATGGCCAGGAGAGATTTTTGTTGGTCTAGACTGCAGGATCTTCTTTTAGTGGTTATAAACCCTGTTCACTGTATATTACCTAGCGTATACCTACTTATATGTCCTATATAGTTCGGACCATTGCTCGCCAGGTAGAAAAGCGTTGCATTATTGTAAGAACAATTAATATGATATAGTGACGGGATAGTTGCGAGATAATCATGGTAAACACTATACCCCACTTAATTTTTAAATACATTGTGTTTATAATCAATGATATTCTTGAAAACAAAAAAAAAAAATATATAATAAAATTGTTCACACGTCTAGTTTTACGTGGATGAAAATAAAATTGATAATATGCCAACGAGTTATTATGAAAATTAAAAAATAATACACTGAAAAACCGGTTAGAGAAGTAAAGAAGAAGTGTAGACTTGGGATTGCTTATTTTTGAAATAGATTTCATAGTTTCGCAAAATAACAAATTATTGATAAGAAATATTAAAAAAGAAAATAATGTTACTTTATCCCACAACAAAATGTAAGATTCAATTAGACAATATTTTTAATAGTTTAGAATGTTAAAATAAACACAATGATAATATACTCTCACGAGTATGCATGTCAATAATATATTGCGTACATATTTCGTTTAAAATTTTAGACTTTTGTTATAAAACAATTTGTAGCAAAACAAAAACTAATGTTTTTGATAATAAAAATTACATAACAAGTAATTCAAAATCAATTGAATTATTAATTTATTTCAAGTCTAAAATTAATTTTATTTATAACAGTAAGAAGATATAAACAATTTTTTGGTAAGTATTATTTGTAGAACGTGAGCTATATAATGTATCAGCAATGTACCTACGTGAATTATTTAAAAAGCTTTAAAACACTGAAATCCACAGTTTAAAAGAACATACTGGAACCGTTTAATATTAAAACAGGGTTGTTTTAACGATTTTTTAAAAACTAACATTCTGGTAAAGAAAAATATACTATATAAATCTCTAATGGGAATGGAATAATTGAAGTAATTTTTTTTTTGCACGCGCTCTTTTTTGAATTTCGTGCTACTACCAACGCATAGTGTAAAATAAAACACGAAAAGTGCTAAGAAAAAAATATGGGGTCGGGTATTCCTCCCTATTCCCAGTTTGTCCTTAAAGAAAAACTCGTAGGACAGAACGAACAAAAATTTAAAAAAAATCAATCAAAGTGTTATTTCTTCCCTTGCGTCGCGGTTTCGTCTCATTTAATTCAAGATCATTGCATGGCCTTAAAAAAAAAAATCAAGTAAATAAATGAGAATATAAGCTTATACCGTCAAATGAACCTGAACGTATATTGGTGGATAATATATATATATATATACACACACAATATTATTACCAAGCAATAAAGGTTGATCACACTAATCCAAATGATAACAACAGGTCGTAAGAAACGCACAGTGTGAGAAAATATGGTATTTTTTATTGTTTAGGTATACCAACTATGACGTTGGTGTTCAGTTTACGATAATATACGAACATTTTCAGTCGGAAAAAATTATCAATAACGTAGGTACTTTAACGCGATTTACTGTATGGTTTTTACTTCTCAGTTACATTGATATTTATACACCGAACACATCTATTACCTATCTAAGTAGGTGTATAATGTATATAAATATACCTATTTTATTTTCTGCACATAAATTGTAAATGATTCGTTTTATTATTTTTTTTTTTAGTAGAATATTTATACGTTTCAAACAATGCATTGTAATCTTTACTTTTCGGTACACGGTCTTCTTAATTTATAGATAATATACACAAACAAAAAAATTGATATAAAATTATATTATTCAAATATAAATAATTTTATTATTATTTTTACAGTAATAATAATTAAATTTAAGTTGGACATGTTATATAATAATGAACTCATAAAATTCTTAGATTGATAAATATTTTGTTAACGATAAGAAACATTTTAATTAAACATAAAACACAATTATTTAACTTAAGTATAATTTTAAAGGACATATTATATTGAAGCTTACATGTGTGTAATTTACATAAATAAAGCGATAACAGACCCTTATATTAAATTAAATTAACAATATCGAATAACTACTTAGCTTCATGGTAAAATGACTGTCTCGATACAAATAACAAATTTTGCAAGAATGGTATCGAAACCATAATATTTAAACATACAAAGTAAAATGTTAAATATTTGTAAGTTATATCTAACAAAGGAATATGCCTTTTCAGTGCATCGTCAATTATATTCATACCACATTTTATTAATATTTTATCAATAACACAAAGAAAGTAATAACTAATTAAAAATAACAAGGCTATACAACTATAGCCCAAACCACTTCTGATCACAATCACACTCAAATCATTAATTGAAAGCCAACTGATAGAATCATTAATTATTGGGTTCATAGCACGAATATCATCCTGTATACCTAATTTAATGTTCAACCAACCTCCAGTCGATAAACCCGCACAAGATGCTAAAATTAGAGTCGTATCACCTTTAGTAGGTGTCCACTGATCACTAGTTGGGTAAATAAGTATTAACCTCACAGAAACAATAATGAATATCAATGGTGTCCAATTGCTACTCATAAGATAACGGTCTAATACATCAGCCAATGGTACAAATGGAATCAACAAAATAGTGGCTAATATCAGGCCAGCAATCACATCCAAAACTGTGTGCATACCCAAATATAAACGACTAAGCGAAATCATCATACACCACAGAAATACCATTGCGATACCGACGTTGTAGTCGATTGTATATCGATTTGAAATGTAATAGAAAACAGGAAATGGTAATACAATACTAATTATAGCATGTGTCGAAGGCATTCCATATTCAATAGACCATTTTGTTTGCAGTCTAATGACCGGGGGACTTTGCGGTCTCGGCCATTTTACAATGTCTTTAATGGACTGGCCAATGTACATAACGACAGCCCAGACGAGCACCATTTTCCTAGCGACTGCCGAGTCTACGTTCCATATCAAGAACGGTATGACGATAGCGTATCCAATTTCGTCACCAAGGTACGTGCAGGACAGAAACAAGTAATACCAAAACTTGTTAGTGACATGATCGATTGGGTTTAACTTGAGTACCGTACTTTCGTTATTGGTCTTGGACTCGCTATTGTCCAGCGACGGAACGGTAGTATCATTGTCCGACGAGTCGTACCGTATCACTCCGAAAAGCCTTTGAAAACGGGCGACTAGTTCCGGATCTTTTAGGTAATCAACGCAAACCTTGACAGTGTCCATGTCCGAGCCACCAGTTTCCACACGCGGCCGTTGAATGTTCTTCGGACTTTGCGCCAGTATACAATATAGGTAGGTATAGGCTATGGGTATGTAAAACGTTAATGGAAGAAAACAACTAAACAAATCCTAGCAAAACAGTCGAATGACGTTGGTGAGATGAATTTTTGCGGTTTTAAAGACTATAAGAATATAATAAACAATAATCAAGCGACAGAGTCTATGACACTTCCGATATCGCATACGTGACAGCGGCCGAACGCAAACTGAACGGTGTACATAAACTAGCAACAGAAATACGAACTATTTATGTAAATTATAGTTATCGGTTTAAAAAATTAAATATTATATTCATCGATTTCGGCGGTCTTCAGCACTGATTCTATGAACAGTAAACACGACCGAATGGCACATCGGAAAAAAAACACGGTTATATATGTAAATGTTTTTTCACGTTATTAAAGATTTTTTTTTTCAAAGACCACAAGTGTTATTTTTAAAAACAAGAAGTAAATTAATAACTATACATAATTCGTTATACAATCTAAAATATTTTTTATTAGACGATGAAATACATTTAAGTATTCCGAATTTGAATGATTGGGCGAAATAGGATAAAAAAAGGTTTCAAATCAGTTTATAGGGGATGACTTAACAATTTATTATAAAATTAAAAAGGGTTACTAACTATAATGTGTATTAGTTGCATTATCTATATAGAGTTGTCAATGCGTGTCTAAAGTATAATCCGTTATTCTTAGTATAGTAAAAGAAATTTATTTTTATTTTGTAAATAACTATTTTAGAAATATCAAACAATAAAATAAATAAGAGATTTATTTATAAACGCAAACGTGTTTACAATGGTAGTATTATTTTAAAGATATTTAAAACAGATTTTGGATTAATTTTTTATTATTTAATATTGATGTATTGAATAATTCACTTATACTATTTTGATAACTGATACTAGAGCATAATATATAACGAGGCGCACTATAAAAGAACTTCTTACGGCTTGACCCTTAATTTTTATCTATGTTTTTTTTTCTTTAAAGTTGACTCGAATTGTATCTCAATTTAAAAGTTATCGTTCACTTTTATATGGCTCCCACATTATGTAGTTGATTTTTTTAAGTTTTCGAATTGTCTCAGATAAAAAATAATTTCACTTGAATTATTCTTTATATAATCAAAGACATTTTTTTTTTTTAATTATTTTAATTAATTAAAACGTTTATTATATATTTACTTGAAAACCAATCTTTAACTTGTCTCAAATTAAAATGGTTTTTTCTATTTTTGATAATTATGTTTATATCATATATATATAAACATACTTTTTTATAACGTAACAATTGCGCAAACCTAACTGTTTATTTAATGCTAAATTAATCATCAAGAATTACCAGCGATTGACGATATTATTCGGAAATAAAAATAAATAAATGTTTTTCTAACGTATTACGATAAATTCGAAAATCATTGAAATAACTAATAGTATAATAAAGTAAATTGAATATTATATTTGATAGTACAATAAAATAAATCAATTAATTGATTTTTTATTATGGATATGATATATTGATGTGGGAAGCAATTTGAGTAAAATAAGGTCACCTACCTATTTACGAAGCAGTTCTCGTGCATCGAAAATATATTACAAACGTAGGATGTAATTATTTATTCTGTCCTTAAATAGTAAAAGTTAATTATAATTATAAAATAAATTGTATGTTCTTAAATTGTTATCGTTTACCTATTCCGTTTATACGTTTTTATACTAATTAGCAACACTTTATTCCATATCAGTATATAGCTAGTGACCAATATTTTACGTTTTCATGTCTGACTAATCAGTTTTTACATAAATATAAAAATACACGTAAGGTCAACAGCGAACAGGACAAAAATAATTAGTTACTTATGATCGAAACAGGTTACATTTAATTTAACTGCATTCATAAAAATGTATAAATTAATTCAAAGTATATTTAAAATTCAAACTTGGAATTATATGTATTTGTACGTGCAACTAATTATTTTCGAGTTGAGCAAAGTATTATGCTTAACTATTTATAGGAATTTACATTTCGAATCTGGTAATATTTTTATGATGCACATAAATTATAGACACGATTAAATATTTACAATTTAATAGTGAATAAATGTAAAAAAAAAAAAGAAAATTATAAAAATATAAAAATACTATTGTACCATACGAGCACACGATATTGTGTATTAATGGTCTCAACTGAACAGCCATTCAGACCACGGTTAAATAATAATATCCTAGACTCGACCAATTCGAATGGATTATTATACAAAATATTGATAAATAATACATTTTAATATAATCTCACAACATATTTTATTTGTCAAATCTATTGTTCAACAAAATTATTAAAACAATCATTGTTGATTATTTGGCCAGAATTTAATAATCCGTACTTTACGAACATTTAACCGTTGCAACGTATTCGTGCCCAAGCGTTTTATTATAAATAGCTTATTTACGCAAAAATTACTTACCGATGGGCACATTTTGCATGTATATTTTCGGCCACCACCATTTTGATGCGTGACCACGTGATGTGCGTCCGTGATTTTGGTGGCATTTATCGGATGCGGTACAATCAACATGGGCGTCGCCGAGTTACCAGTGGGTGAAATGCTGCTAGCCGTGCTTGCTGTACTATGCGACCTCGGCGTACCACCCCCGTGCTGTTGGTACATACCAGAACCATCCTCCATACCACCTGTAAATCAAATGTCATTAACCATCGTGATTTTTGAAGATGTTTTTTCAAGACTAGCTGAAAGTACATAACTCAATGGTATAGGTATAACTTGTATATTATAATGATAATATCTATGTATTATATTTAAATAAACTAGTTTTACAACCCAAATTACCTTTTTATAAACCATAACGGAACTCATTTACGGGTCACCCCTTATAGTGGGCTAAAGGGGTTAAAAACGAAGCTAAGATTGTAAAATTTAGTTTCGATTAGTTTAGTACTTTCCAAGTCTATAAGAGTCTATAACCCATACATATGTTATGTACACAAATATTTTTTGAATTAGCCAAGTTTACCAATGTATTAAAAATAATTTACTTAGATACCAAATAGGTACGTACGTATATTATGCGGACTAAACGGATTGTAAGCGCTCTAATCCCAATGGTTTTATTACGAAAAAAGATGATTGAACCAATGCTAAAACCGGTTTGCGATAAAATATTATGGTATAATTGTTTTGGAATAGTGGAACACCGAAAGGAAATCCTACGTTTTTTGTTACTATAGTATTATTGGTATTTAGAGACTACAAATAGTTAAATACATTTATGTATAAATCCAGATGATACCTACTCGAGTGTTTTGAACAATAGAAATATATTAATAGGTATGGAATAATAAATATTGCATATCGGTTGCATGAGCTTATGAACACAATTTATGGTAAACGAATTGTTAGGTAAAAAAAAAAAAAAACCCTAAGTTATGTAAAGAATTTTTATTTTTGCAACCGACATTAATATTTTCTGTATATTTTCGATGAATTATAACAAATTTTATATGTAGATATTAGTGTATCGTCCCTATAAGTCGAAATGTATGCTAAATTCGGCGTTTCAAAGGGTTTAGGCGGTGTCATTATTCTTTGAAAACAACTATAATAATATGTTGATATCGATTTAAAACCCGTTTTGAGTTTGTTGTGACTAAAAAGCAGTATTAAATTTGTTAGATTAATGTTTTCGTTGCACAATAGCTCATAATATGGTATTTTTAAAACATGAACCTTTCCCAAATTCGCTTCTACCTGATTTATGCAGAAAATCAAAAAATCAAACAGAATATGTATTGCATGTTTAAACGTGGTATGCTTAGAACAATGTTGTATTTTTTTAGTTGATAATATATTAAGTATATATTTTGCAACTGCTACTATTTTCAAGTTATTAAAATAGTAGGTATATTAGCTAAATAATATATTATGGGTTTATAAAATAAACTATCAAATTATGTGTTCCAAAACTGGTTTCGTTAAACTAATTAAATAATAGTAACGTACAAAGGTCTTGCAAAACACGTTTGATCCCATGTAAATCCGATCGAGTTTATTATAATATTATGTACGAGTATACATATATATTTTACATATTTCAATCGTTTTTAGCATAATATTTACCGTCAAATGTAAGGGTATGTAAACTTTCATACCTCGATGTCCTTAAGTGAAAAAATAAACAGAGCATACTTCCATATACGTATATACATATTGTGTGTCAAGATTTTCATGTTATTTGCATTTTGGTATTTTAAGCACTTGAATTAAATGGATAGCATTGAAAAGCATAATAATCGTATTTTATTGAAACACACACATTGTCACGAAAACGTGTAAGTTTCAAATGGAACATAAATATGGGGGACTGTTGAACTGCACTCTACCTAAGCCATAATGTTCGGATTGGACACGGTCCAGTCATTTCATAGAATTTATGAATATTCATTTTAGTATACAATATTGTACATGAGAGTTAGCAACATAATATTGAAATGTTCAACAACGTATTCCAACTAATTTAGAAAATAAACGTAAATTTATATCATTATATCACTTCAATGTTCAAATTATTTGTTAATTTTTTTAAGATCACTTTATTATCATATAATTATTTTCAAAACTGTAGCTATACACTATGTAAATATAATAATAAAAATACTAATCTTTAACATATTAAAAATATACAAATTCTATTTTGGACCATCTACTGTTATTCGTTAGTTTATAAATCATATCGTTATTATGAGTAATTATCGAAACGAGTGCAATTCGACAGAAATAAATAGAATTCGACTTTACCCTTAAAGAAGATGACACTCATGGACAACACTTAGATCATATTTTATCTATATAAATCGAAGGGCAACAAACACATACAATCAAAATTACATGTATAATTTATTATTATAAAAAGTTTGTTACATATTTAGGTTGCGTAAATCTTTTACCATACGCCACGTCACTTGATAACGACTAAATCAGAATCGCCAAAACTGACCCTAACTATCTAAGAATCTTTTTTTTTTTTCTATCCTGGCCTCAAGCGAATTCTCATTCGCGTCATATTGTATGTATAGAGTATATTATGTGTGCACGTCGTAATGACTTCGGGAGAGTGTAATAATATATATTATAACTGTATCGAAGACAGCCGACCCGAAGACTAGACTGACTATACGTTTTGGGTACACACCGGTGGAGTGGGTGACGGTTTACTACAGGGGAGAGGGTGTAATGAGCCGTATAACGCTGTCAGACTACTTGGAAAGGTATTCAAGGTGAGCATCGGTAACATCGGTGATCATACCAATAGTATGTCAGTGTATACGCATATTTTGTATGTGTGTAAGTGCATGTGTGCGTGTGTGTGTACGTGTACAATGTACATTATATAAGCAGCCTCGCCTTGTCAACTCGGACACATACTCTGTAACTATCGTTTTGACTGTCGACTACGATTACGACCCTGCGTGTCGTATCCATGGAAACCATAGATATCTCTGGAGAGAGAAAAAAAGTTAATTATTACGCGTATCGAAATTGCTGCATATTCTATGCCCACGAGCCATCCGCAGGACTTATAAGAGAACAAACAAATCACTTCGTTCGATAGTGGTCCTGCTTGACGGCCAGTTTGCCATATTTGCTAAATAAGGGTATACCCATGTCACTGCGAGGGAGATTTCGATAAAAGCATTACATTAAACAGAATTATATGTACATGAAATAATATTGTAAATTTACTAACGAGCACTACACCTACTACTTATCATACCTGGTCTGCGTAAATGCACATATTATACTACACACACACACACACACACACACACACACACACACGTATATATATATTGTACACGTATATCCTGTGTCAAATATCAACTCGTAGAAATATTAATCATATTAAATATAAAATCGATGATTTCAACTATTTTTTTATGAATACATACTAAGATTGGGTACTTATTTACGAATAGATCATCTATACGTACCTTTTGAAAGTTGTTGAATATGATCGTTGTTGTTCATTTTCGCCTAAAACAAAACATAAATCATATTAGTTTTTATAGGATGTCTATACTTTATACAAATGCATAGATTTAAAAGTAATATTGATTTTTCAATTATGTTTCTATAGTATAATAACCATAAATGTCTTGTAAGTTATAGAAATGACGTGTCGTTTTAGTTAAAAAAAAAAAAAACACGCGTTTGGCAACCACGTAATAATTAATAGGTACAAATTTTTAGTCTCTAAAAGCGAAGAACTTAACATTCTATTAAATTATTAAATTTTAGGTACTAAAAAAACAATTCGTATATATATTATATCATAGCTATAATTAGATATATATGTAAAAGTTGAGTTAATTTAAGAAAATTAAAAATGTATTAAAAATGTACACTCTTTTAGGTGTTATTTCATCGAACTACTCCTGTATCGTATCTAATAAAATATACATATATTATGGTACAGAATAATGTCTAAATCATTGTTATACTATCTATCTATAATATTTTGAACCATTATTTCGAATATTCTGCACCGGTGCCCAAAAATAATCAAGTCAGCAATATATAGGGCTTATAAAATGGAAACCAGTTTAATCCAGACGCCTAAAACTGGATATAATATATGTATATCCATATTATACATATTAATATGCGATCGAGCCACACAGTGTTTTTAATGGTCAACTAAAGTAAATACGTGTAGAAATCATAATGACTAGTAGTAGTAAGAGTAATAGTAATATTATTGTATATAAATACTGTGTAGCAGTAGTAGTAATAGTAGTTGTAGTAATATTAGCTGTAGTAATAGCATATCATAGTGAGTAAAATATATAATATTGGCAAACGCGTTTGCGTTTTTCTTTATCGTTTTAATTTTTTTTTTTTTTTTTTTTAGAATTTTACCTCATAGCCTTGTTTCATGGCTGTCTGTCTAGTCCAACTATAGTCCACTTCTTTGCCATGTCCACCACATTGCTGTAAACACAAACAAAACCGACCAATCAAAATTAGACACAACAATCAGTGTAAATCCGGACCGGGCCGGAGTGCACAGTTCACGTGATCCGAGAATGCACAATTTTAACACAATCATAAACGAATAATATATTATTGTAATTTATATTATACAATTGATAATAATCAATAAACATTAACATTAATACTGAATATAAATTATTTGCAATCGATGTATATAAATGCGTGTATTATGTACCTACGATTGGATTTTAACAGACGTTGCGATATGAATAGGCGCTTATAATATGATAATACGCATATATATAATATATTAGACTATGGCTGTCTATAATTACGAACTTATCGTACAATGATTATTGATAAATCATTTTTTATTAATTAATTTTTTCCTTTTTAATAATGATAAACGTGTACCTAGTGTAAAATTCAAAGATGAGACTACGACGAGGGGAACTGTCCAGTATACGTTACAACATTTTTGCTATAATGATAATGCGATAAATATAACGATTAACACCATATCTATCTAACCATTAAATGTAATAACACGTTTAACAAAATTCAAAAAAAAAAAAAAATTGTAAAACGTGTTGTTTTTAGATCTGTTTTGTTTTTATGGTCTTGTTGCATTTTTCGCATAGAAACTTTCTTCAAAAGTAGTCTAATTATAAAGGTGTTTACTGAGCTCCACTATAAGCACTAACGGTTGTCATAAAACAATAACATTATTTTTTAGCTTTATATTTTTTCTCGATGACCCTTTACACAGAAGGCGTTTTATTGATATATAAATGGAGCATAACACTTGTATATAGCTTATGTTAGGGTAGATATTTATTAATTTTCTATTTGCATCTGAACCTACCGTATCCCAGAAAAAATTAGGGTTATTGAATATTTTTTTTTAAATACTTTATACCATATAATAATAACACGTTCGATTAACTTAAAAAAAAAAAAAACACCGTTATTTATTTAACAATCTCCAATTCATCTTGATATAAACATGTTTTATTATGTTTTCCTTTTCGGCGTTTTTATTGTTTGGCAAAACTTTACAGACGCAATGTTATTCCTCCGACCCCACCAAGCCACCGAAACGGCGGACGACTGTCCTGAGTACCCGAATTCTCTGTCAATTTATTATCCAGTCCTCGATCGAAACCACTATTATACACTGAGTAGGTATGTATACGTATACACAATTCAACATAACGGTCATCTACCCAGACGGTTTGAGAAACAATCGAATTCGAATAAACCGCTTCGCGAATACACAGCATTGCGGTGAAACGTCGAGAATAATCAATGACATATATAAGGCAAATAACGTAATTTTTGCTCGTAGGTATTACATGGTTATTATTATTTTTTTTGTCATATTAAAACAAAAAATATCAACATGTTATGTGCAAACAGTACGCTGGTTATATTATTGCAGTGTAGGTTAACAATATTGGATTGGTGAATAGTTAATTGGGTTTTTTTTCAATATATTCCTCGCGCGTTTACAAATACATCGTAATTTCAGACAAAATATCAACCATATAATATTAAGCCGCCGAAGAACAAACAAAACCTCGTCAATAAACTATATGCACATTTGTATGGCTACTTGGTGCTCAATTATGCAAATATTAGAGTATAATATACTCTGTACATTGTACGTCAAATCGCCGTGATCTTGTCACAACACCGGTCCGTAAAACCTAGGTATATGTAGAATCAAAAAAGTATTACTGCACATACCCCATAATATTATTATGAGCGTATATTATTTTAAATTGTTTAAATTGTTCGTCTCGATGCAGGTGTACCTTAGTACCTACCTAATAGTAACTGTCTGCCTACCTCGTAAGATGCATGTTGAGATATGATATCGTCACAAATTATCGAAAAAGAAACTACGAGTTGGGTTATATTTGTGTACACATACGTAGGCACATAACATAAACTTCGTACATAATTGTGCCTGTCGTATGATTACACTGAACGCTCGTCGGTTATAATTTTATAGGTCCATGGGAATAATATTTTATGTTCTGTTGCTCGGGAACGAGTATATTTTTTCAATTCATCGAAGTTAGACCGAAAACTCGATCGCGTGACTATATTATAACCCTGCTGAGTAATATAAACGACGTGTTGACGTAAAAGCTTACAGGTGATGACTCCATAAGTTTCCTACAGTGGTTTAATTGCATAACATTATTAACGAGACGAATAACGACAGTTGTATAATCGCACACAAATTTCATAACAGTTTTCGATTGAGTATTACGACTATTTATCATAACTCGAAAACACAAACATATGAAAAAATAACTGTATTTAATCATTAACCATAATACCGATATGGTGTGAAGTGTTTCAAAATAAAACTCTGATGGTATCCTTAGCCTAAAAATGTGATTGTTGAGTAGAAATTTAGTTCGAAATTAATTGTTTTTTTTTTTTTTTATATTTCTGGACAATGAATTTGCCATATTTTAAGCTTTAATAAAAAATTACATTACTTTTTATTTGTAAAAATCTTATTTAAAAAAATTTCCGTTACATAATATTATAATAAAATTTGAATATCACGAGCCTTGGGTCTAACCAAACAAATTTTAATATATATCTTTGAAACTGAAATTACCGATGGACTGAATACACGCGTTTACAGCTTAAATGTATATAGCCTATTTCCTACATATCAAAGATTTTCGTGAATTTTTAACTATCAAGAGTAATTTGAAATTTCGTACAAAACTTACGTCTAAATTATATTATTGCAGACATTGAATATATGCTTGCACCCTCAACCTATGCAGTGTAGATAGAAATTCGGCATTGTTATCGTCGGCATGTCGTAAAATAAGCTGAGACGACAAACGCGATGTGAAAACGTTTCTTAAGATTTTATTTTCTGATATGTATACATATACTATAGTTATAATATAAACACAGCTTGTTTACCTTCGGGGGTTGTTTTCGGCCCACCCCTTGCTCGTCGTCAAAAATTGTTGTATTAATAAAATAAAATGCGTAATGAACCGTAACTACGTGATTTGAATAAAAATCCCACCGAGGCGTGTACGAATCACGGCGAAGATTAATGTTTTTCGTCAGTCGTAAAATGGAAAATATGATAAATGATAGGAGCCACAAGGTGTTCGATCTCGAATATATAGGAATGGGTACCTGTAAACCGTATACCTTGACAAATCCGCGTTGTTCCGGATTTCGTCTGAATGTTAAATAGGTCTTGGGAACAAAAATCAAAACCAGATCTAGTGAAAAGGGTGCGACGTGTAAGCAGCTAATGCGACGTATAGATGCATCTAACACTACAGACAGTATAATGTTATGTGGTACCTACCACATTTAATGCGCTAAACGCCATTGGGCTATTCAACTGATAAAATATAATATTATAACTATCATACCTTATACGATATAATGTAAACAATTATATTTTAAGTATGTCTACTGCCTATACTTAAATATTTAATTCAATTTTGACTAGAATTAAAGTTTTTGTTGAGTAGTTAAGGAAATTTGTACCATATAGAAACGTCTTTTTAACCCCAGGAACACAAAAAATATGGGCATTATCAATGCGTTGATAACTTTAAAACTATACCTATGTTAACTATTTAAGAGTTTGTTAAAAACTTAAAAAGTTTATACGAAATTAAAATCTATGCTGACAATCTATAGCTTGACATGTGAGGATTGTAGGGCTTGAGATAACCTATTTATTTTTTTATGAAAATAAACGAATTAGATATTGTATAAAAAATAAAAGTACCTCTTTCTAAGTTTCAAAATATTCAAATATTCCTTGAAGCTAATATCTGTTATGTTATTAAATGGTATTTAATGTATATTTCTTTATCACTAGATGTTTCTTCGTGTATAAATTATGCGAAGAACAATATAGAGGCTTGCAAATTAGCCAAAGATTATATACATGCACATAATAAAAATATTATAATAAATTTAACCGATATATTTCTTTTTAAAATTGCATTGGTATACAAGATATTTGTTATGTTATAATTAATACTTAAAAAGTGATACGTTTTTTAAAAATTGTTTTTAGTAAGCTGCAATACATATTTTATATTAAATTAATAAATTAATAATTATAATATTATTAAAAAAAACATAGCAAGAACTAAGAAATGTTTCATCAAATGACGAGTTTTATTACAAAACCTTTTTTTTTTAATAGTACGAATCGGTATAAATTATGCATAAAAGTTTTACACCATTATAGATAGATGTGTTGTAAGTATACAGTATAGGTATATCGTATTGGGTATGTATACAAAAATATTGACATATTTGATCAGCTGCTATTTGACTAAACACATCGAAAATATGATTATCAATAATTTATTAGACAGAATTCTTACTTTTGAAGTGTTATTAAGAATATTTTGTTTAATATTTACAGCGAAATAATTTAATAATAAAGTGTATATGATACATAATATTAAAAAATATAAAAATCTACATACTAAACAACACAATATTGTTGTAAGTTTTACATACATTTAATATTTTCTATAAAGCATATTCTTACCATATTTATGTAGCTCTTGAATTAATCAAATATGATTTAATTTTTATAAATTATCATCTGAAAAGTGCATAGTGACAATTTGGTTATAGGCTTAAACAGCGTTCAGTGGTTCGCATAATTCAATTGAAAAAAAAATAAGTTTTGAAAGAAAAACCACATAACGGGCATACAATAAACATGATACATTTTTTGTACATGTTTAAATCGAACGTGTTTGTAATAACTGTATATATATATATATATATATATATTTGTGTTTAATATCTTTTAAAACTAATAAACGGTTTTAATCACTACTACAATAGATTTACGCCTATATAGAAGTTCGACGACGCAAAGAGGATAACCTAAAAATACTATTAAACCATTGTTGTTGTTATATATATATATATATTGTCAAGTAGTAGAGTAAAAAGAAAAA